GGACAGTATTTAAAAGTACATATTTATCACTTAATGCTAATGCAGTGTAAGATGTTTCTTTTTCTTGTCTCGTTGCTTTTATGACCCCCTCAATACTCCCGAGGCATGCTTTCTTGCATGAATAAACAATAGAGGTGAATGAGCAAACATTTTCATTGCACCGTGCTGTTAAAAGTTGAAAATGAATGCACTGCCAGAAAGGCTGTCTTGTTTATGTGATGCATGCTCTTTTACCCTCAAAATCACACTACCTCCTTTGCTGCTTTCACCTCTGTGCAACATGAACTGATTCTGTACTCTCATCTGTGCTATCATTTATATATATTTTCTGGACTGTGAGTCCTATTTCCACATTTTTACATGCACAAGTGCTAAGTGTTGACCTGCTAATCACTGGAAATTCAGGCGAACTTATCACAAAAATGGCATATGTGTGAGTTACACAGATTAATATTTTCCATCCCTCAGACTGAGGCAGCTCAAATAGTTTCATACTCTCAGCTATTTGCAGCAAATCAGCCACCAATACAGAGATTCGGCATAGGAGTATCAGTGTAATATTCATGCTTAAACATGAACTTTAATGAAGTCAAAAACCTTGTGGGAGAGGGGGAAAAAAAGTACCGTTTCTGTTAAGAAAGGCAACTAATTCTTTCATCTTCTTCTGACATACTTTGACTTCAATCCCTTGCTTTGTCATTGCAATTTCACTAAGTTTCTGACTTTGTTCCGCAGGCAACTGACTCAAACAACTACTTTTACTGTTCATATGAGCAATAGTTGTGTGAAGTGAGATTGGGCTCCTCAGCATGACCATTTTTTGTCCCTTGGCTCTTGGACCCCTTGTAGGTCGCCGGCAAAAGCAGGAGATATGAACACGGTGACGATGGACAGTTTTAATACACCGGCACATGCCCTTTGGGGAGTCAAGTGGTTGCCCCTGCAGATATTATGAGTGGCGAAATGAAGCACATCCATTTCCTACAGCCTGAAGGATGACATGTGGCAACTGGGGCCTCTGATGGGATTTAGTTGTTGCCCTTTTTGTTGTACAAATTCCCAGTGATTAACAGAACAAAATGAATGTGCGAATCCCAATCCCCTTCGTGCTCGTGAGCCGTGACTATCGATTTCATCCTTACAGTCACTGTGACTTTGATTATTCTTGCTTACAGCACATCGGATGATACAATAACGAGAGAGTGCTGCTATTAAACTGAAATAATGGTTGCTATAGGAGAGTCGTTATGACTGCGACTGTTTGTCATTTCAGATTGCTGCTCAACAGAGAGGACTGCGAGTTGGCCAGGTAACTGATAAAAATGATTAGCTAGAGGACTGGCAGCAAACATCAGTGGAAATGCAGAGAGTGCACTTCACATTCATGATGTGATTTTCTCAAAACTGCTTCCCCGTCCAAAGGCTGATCCTTGTCAGGCTTAGAAGAAAAATGTGAACGCACACATGTTGCCGTGCAAAAAACCCAATGCCACACACACTCACACACGCACATGCACTCATATAAAACTCGTTGGGACTGCATTTAGAGCATTTGGTTAAATACAGCCTTTTCCTATTGCAGCGGCTGTCTCCCCCAGGATAAGATGATGCATAATCAACGCCCTGCTGTGGTTCACAGCCATCACATTGCAACTGCTCCTCCTGCGGCAGTGGTTTCCTTGCTCCAACACTCAAGAGGCAGAAGAAACAGTACACAGATGTATCCAATTAACACCTGCTCCAATGGTTCACCGCCTTTATTTCGGTTTGCATATTCCATCTTGAAGCCTCGTCTGCAACTTGCCAAAACCTCTTCTAGTTCTGCAGACTCACCGCTGAAGAGTTCTTGGATCTCGGCAGATTTGGGTTAGACATGGGAGGAAAGAGTGCTGTGTTGCATCATGGGTCTACGTGGGCTTTAGAATAAATACAGAAAGTGAATAGAGACCTTTAATCTTTGTGATATAATGCTTTTTTATTTGTAATATCCTGTTCCGGCTACACTGAAATGTACCTGCATGTATTCGATGTGGTCCATTTTGAATCAAGCTACTTATTCGCAAAGATCAAACTTGTTTCTCACTGTTGTCTGCTTCTCTTTACATCAACCTTCTCCTTTAATAAGAGAAATCAATAACATTCACCTCATTAGTGCACTTCATAAAAACAGCATCACATTCTCAGCAGACTGTTTGCCTTTGCAGTTCTTGTTAGATTAAAAAAAATATTCACACATCAAACTAAAAGAAGGCAATTTTTTCTTTGAATGAGTCTCCGGTGAACAGACAAGTAAGTAAATGATGCAGGCTTTGTAGCTACATCGGGGATCATTTGCATCCCGTTGCCCCTCGTGCCCCGCTATGTGCACAGTGGCATTGGTGCATTGGTGGACGCGGTGCCTTTAATAACAGCAAACCTTTTAGCACAGCAGTCTTATGTAACTGTAACAAAGGGCTATGTTCCGCTTTTGTTGTTATCTTGGATCACTGACAACGTCAAGACACATCTTCTTAATGAAGCAGTGAAAAGCGCAGTTTTGTTGGTCTTCGGTTTTAACAATAGACTCTGAAAGTGTGCACATCTGTTTGGTGTACAACTCTTATCTCAAAATTGCAGGGAAGGACAAAGTTATGATATCGTGATTATTATAATTTTCAATATTTAATGTGACCCCAAGTCAAAGTGGCACCATAGACCCATTAGACTGAAATGACTGCTACATTAATGTTTAATGTGCCCATATTGTTTTGATCACTAAAGTAATCTATTCATCAATAATTAGCTAATTCAAATTTCAGGTTGTGAAAAACATGAATAAATATAAATGAGATCACCTATTCATCATTTTCAAAACCAAATTTAAACCCCAATTCTCACAATTCATATTTTTTTCTTCCATAAAGCAAAGTTTCGGTTTCTCCACTCACTGGTTTGGCATTCATAGGGACTAAATTATAACACAAAAATACAATATTTAAGAAGTCGTAATCTGTGTTTTCTATTTTCTATTTTTCTATTGTAGAAAAAGGCATAGTTTCATTCTAGAGGTCTGGCATCTTGTGGTTTTATTCTCTCCTTTCATTTCACTTTTATTATTGGATAGTCATGATTTGAATGGAAGAAATGAAAAACAGCATCACTGGGAGCACAGAACTGTGAATTCACATGCTGCCTTTGCCCTGTCATTTTCCCTCATGCTGGTTTTCAATTAAGAACTGTCAATGACTCATATCAGCAGTAATCCCTTTAACATGCAGTTGACTGAATGTGCCCAGTCGATACCTTCATTCTTAGTCATCTTGGCTATTCTAAGGACAGCAGAAGTCTCTTGTGTTTACCTCTCACAGAAGATTGGCCTCTGATCTTCAAATCCCTTGTTTAGCTAAAGTGGCCCTCTCGGGACTGCGGCAAGCAGGGGATGAAGCGACACAGAGTGATGGAGCGACAGAGAAATTCAGAGAGGGCAGCCGACCGAGAGAATTGTGAGGTTGTAAAGAAGAAGAATGATAGATAAATGAGTGATAGGGATGGGAAGATGAGAAAAAGAGATATTCAGAGAGAAAAATGGGAGAGGTAGGAGGGAGAAAACCTTTTAGGATGAGGCAGTCTTTCCTCCCACCACTCCTTCCTCTCCTTCTTGTCTTGCAGGCCTGATTGAACCTCCGTGGTTGAACTCATCAGGTATTCACAAAGCCCCTTCTCTGACGCCCACCATCCCAGTGCTTTCTGTCATGGATGCAATGAGAGGCTTAGGTCCTTTGTGGATCACTATCCCTGTCATATTTTGTGATGACACCACCTTCCACTTTAGCTGGGGGTGGTTGGAATCAACTAGGAGGGAAAAAGAGGGGTTTTGATAGATGTTGTGTTTTTCCGTACCACAATGTGTATTCTTGTGGCAAGGTTAAGTCAGCTGGATTCACACCTGAGTTTTAGTGATGTGGGAAAACGACATTGGAGTGACAAAGATTTGAGGTTTGGTTGTGAGCAAACAAGCGAATGCACAGAGCGAGGTGCAGTGAGATTTGACAACATTTCTTCCTATTTTTCAAAAGGATGAATACTGTTTTTATTTGTATTTTACCTGCTTATCTGCTGAGATGCCAACTGTTATCTCGATTATTTCTCCCTGCCTCTCTCTACCTATATACTCCATGTGTTACCTTAATTTTCTTTTTTCTATGTCAATTTTATGCCTTACCGATTGTTAGGAAGATTGCAGAACCTATCTACATATCATTTCCAAATGAAAGCCAATGGGTGGGGCTATTATATATAGACACTGCTGCAACACAGCTAGCAGCAGTGGACAGTGAAGAAAAGCAATGGGGGGCAATCAATAATCTAGTAATATGGGCTCAGAGCAGGATGGTCATGTGAGGGAAGGGAACTTGTAGCAAGCGGAAAGGGAGATGTGAACACGAAAAGTGAGAGAGAAATGGATGTGATACCAGGTCATGCATGATATATGGTGGTTAAATGTGTGCATTCACACAGCTATATGCAGGAATTGTGCCAGTGACACACGAAAGCTGGACTATTGATCGTTGTTTTCCGTATCACCTCGGAGAAGCTGGCAGCCACCACAGATGTACTATACAGCACAGTTGTTAGCTCCTCCATGCCCCGAGGTACAGCAACCCAAACACACAACCCTGACACCGTGAAACCCTCCTGGGCTTTGCAGACTACTTCTTCCTGTCAAGCTTCTGCTTATCGACCTGAACAAAGAAGTCAGTGGCCTTATCTTAAATTGCCTTGAGTTTAATACCTGTGCACTCATCTTGCAAAACTACTCCTCTCGTACATCTACAAACCTATTTAAGGGTTGGTTAACCCAAATTATTTTGTTTACCCTGGTTTAAAGCCAAAGAGAAACCTTATCAAAGCTTTATACAGAGCCAGTTATTGAGGCTAACTACACTATCAAGTCTTTTATTTAGAGAAGGTCGTGCTCATGTGAAAGTGCCAAAAAATAAATGTAACTCAGTCTCTCTACTATTGAACACATCTACTTTCAAGATCTTCTGCTATGGATGGTAAACAAAAACACACAAACCTGTCTTAAATTGGTCCCTAGTTCAGCAGGTCATGAATCAATCTATGGTGAATTGGATTTCAGGCACTAATTAGGCTCTTGTTTCATCGAGCAGTGGGACACTGATGAGTCGATGACCTGCGTCACATTTATTTTAAAGCACTGTGGTAATGATGTCCCATTAACAACAGTACTCCCTAGAGTTAGGTAGACCATAGTGCAAAGAGTCATTAAAATATTTAAAATGAAGCTTTAAAAATACCAACATTAAATCCTCAAGGAATACACACAGCCTTTGCACAAGGGTGTCACCACTGTAAGCACAACTGCATCTAACAAAACTAATGAATAAGCTTGCTTCACATAAGCTAATTATCACAATTTGGCCATTATATTTCTTCAGAGAAATGCTGAACAGTCAGTCATACATGGCTGTACTCAAACTGCTAATGAACACCGAACAGAAATAAAAAAAAAATCTTTAGAAAAATCATCTTCATTTTTTTAGGGGGAGTTCACATCTCTGTTGGTCAAGAGTCAAATGTCACACATCTGCTGAGAGACTTACTTTTCTATGGGCATTGCAAGTGTGGCAGTCACTCTACTGGAGTATGTTAATAACGGCAGTAATGACACTTGAGCATATGTATGCAGACAAATAGTGTTCCTCTGGAGGAAAATTTTCAAATTAATCAATTGATCTATGCTATCTTAAAGTCTTCTTAATGGTTCTCTAGGCCTCCCTGCAATATTTCTCTCAAGAAACTGTACGATAGTAGAGTGATAATTGTCTTTACATTACAATTGCCTCACATTATATTGGAGATTAAGTATCGGAATTTTAGGAGCAGGACCACGCCTCCTAACATGTTCCTTCTGGTTGTCATCTATATAGGTTCCCCCAGTTCTGCAAGCTGTTCATTCTCCGTTACGTGCCCCACCCACCCTCCCTCCTTGTTCTCAATTCTTTAACTTCTTCCCTCCTATTTAGTACATGCGGATCTGCCAGGCCCGGGAGCCGTCGCCAGTCCCCTTCAAGGCCTTCCCCAAACCGCAGCTCAGTTCATGTCCAAGCATTCACCTTTACCTACTAAAATGCTGTCAAACCTAAAATGAGGACGTGCGCCCAGCTAGTGAAACATATTATATTGAAGACAGGACACCATTTTCTTATTAAGGCATTTCATATTATGAATTGTTACTACGCTAGGCGATGAAGATAGTCTAATGGCATACAAGAAACCCCCTAGGAACAACTGAACCCCATCAGTACAACCCAGCCCAATCAGGTCAAGCCAAACCGACCAAGACCTTGACCAATGTGGCTGACCATGTCGATCCCTTTTTATTACTAAAGTGTACCCTTCTTCTGATGGCCTCTTCCAGCAGGGCAACACACCACATCACAAAGCCTGGTTCTGCTGGAGGTTTCTTCCTGTTAAAAGGGAGTTTTTCCTTCCCACTGATGTCAAAGCGCTTGCTCACAGGGGGTCATATGATTGTTGGGTTTTTCTCTGTATGTATCACTGTAGGGTCTAACTTACAATATAAAGCACCTTGAGGCAACTGTTGTTGTGATTTGGCGCTGTATAAATACAATTGAACTGAATAAAAATGGCCTTTGTAGTCACT